AATAAGGATGTATATATTGGTCTCCTTCAACTTTAGAAACAAAAATGAATGCAAGGTGTATTATGTATTTGAATTGTAGCAAAAACTGTGATAATTTGATTGAAAACATGTCTTCTTGCATTTATACCTCGGAGACTACCAACTTTTATAAGAATGTAAGAGATGAGCATTGACAGTGGCAATGCCATCGTGAACTATGCCGCGCGCTGTGCGGAAGCGTTCTCGCGAACCAAACGAGTCGACGAGCGATGAGAGAAGAACCAAACAAAACACGAGTGCAATTCACAAAATAACAGCCAAAATCTCACACAAACACAGAGATTTACGTGGTTCGGCAAATTACCTACGTCCACGGGGAGAGGATGGGGAGATTTCACTATATGGAGGAGAAGCAATGGGTTACAATCTCTCAAACAACTCTCAAAATAACTCAACCAATGATCTCACACTCCCTCACAATAATTTCCCTCTCAAAGTGCCCAAAAGAACCCAAATTCTCTGTTCAAACTCTCTCAATTAACCCTAGAAACGTATGTTCTATTTATAACAAACCCAATCCAAAACAGGAAGGGAATCTAAAAACGAGTCTGCCACACCCGGGTGTGACATGCACCACACCCTTGACAACAGGGCAGATTCTGCCTCACCTGAGTGTGACACGCACCACACCCCTGACAACAATTCAGATTCTGCCACATCTAGGTGTGGCACGCACCACATCCAAGCTGCTAAATTTTCACGTTTTTCAACACTTTGAACAATTTGACGCCGTTTTCTACAATTCTCTACCTCAGCGAAGTGTTCCCAAAACTAAACTGACAACAACATGAGCACTAATACGTTATCTCGCCAAATCCGGCTGCACCAATGTGGTTGCCTACGTACCCCTCTCCCAAGGGATCAAGCCACCCATAGTTCATCCAAATGGTAGCAAACGACCTCAACAATCATGAATTTGTAATATGTTTCTACAATGATCAAACTTATTGCTCGGAACCACCTTTGTGAGCATATTCGCTGGATTGTCTTTTGTGCGGATCTTCACGAGCTCCACATCCCCATCTTCAAGAACATCTCGAACGAAGAGATAATGAACATCAATGTTCTTGATCCTTACATGAAAGACCTAATTCTTCGCCAAATATATATCACTCATGCCATCATAATAAATGGCGACGGATCGCTACAAAATACCAAGATCCTCCAAAAATCCTCGAAGCCAAATAGCCTCCTTTACAGCCTCAGTAATCGCCATATATTCTACCTTCGTCGTCGACAAAGCCACCGTTGACTGTAAGGTGCATCTCTAACACACTGGCACACGGGTTAAAGTGAACACACATTCCGTCGTAGACCGGCGCTTATCTAATCTCAAGCGTAGTCGGAATCTACGTATCTAATACATAGCTACCCACCAGTGGTGTCCCGCTCAAACTCCAAACCAACGTTGAGAGTACCTTGAATGTACCTCAAAATCCATCTCACGGCATCCCAATGATCCGGACCTGGGTCGTGCATGTATCTCCAAACCATGTTCACTGCCTGTGACAAATCCGACCTCGTACAAACCATGGCGTACATCAAACTTCCAACTGCGCTCGCATATGGAGTCTTCAATATCAACTCTCTATCTGTTACGTCTCATGTTTATGAGCCTACTATCTAATCTAGTTTTGATGATTAATAAGCAATTCCTAACAATGTTTGTCGAGTGTTTATATTTGCTTGCTAGGTATTCTACACAAAGATCCTCTGTTGGAGGTTGGATGGACTTGCGCCTACACGATCATATCCATTGGATGATGTAAGGAATAACGGAATGAAGCTTTACATTTCAAGTCAAGTATAAGTTCAAGCTTCATCCGTAACCAAGATCGAGCTCAAACGAAGATTTCTACGCTTCGGTATATTATTTCTAGTTTAGGTCTTATATCGTGTGTGTTATACTTCAAAGCTCAAATATTACACACATACACATTTGTAGGAATCTAAAAATGCCTATAGGTGTTCGCACGTAGCTTGAGACGAAAAGAAGATGATGAACATTATCATCCGGGTTAAGAAGAATTACTCGAGTGACCCGCACGCTTGTCAAAGCTAGTGGTCTGCATGCTTGTCGGTCAGCTCCAAGTGCCGTCGCGTTTGTCGGTCAGCACCAAGTGCCCACATGCTTGTCGGTCAGCTCCGAGTGCCATAAAGAAGCTAACAAGCGTATGAAGCAAGTTAATGAAGTATACAAGTCAAAAAGACGATCAAATATACAAAACTGTAGAAAGTACAAGTCCATAAAAGTTTGGAAACACCGAAAAGCTCAGAACTCGCGTGTCGCACGGGTCACCCAAGGGTGACCCACGGTCGTGCGGCGGCTCACCGCGTAGTGAACCGCCACCGCGTGGGTCACCACGTGGTAACCCGTGATCACGCAGGTCACCACATGGTGACCCGCGCACGTGCGAGTCACCGTGGTTTGTCCCGCGCCTAGAATTGCCCATAACGTCCAAAAACACATTTTAGGCTGTTTCGATCGGTTTTTTTAGTTCTAGAACCTCTCTAACTGCTTAAATATCTTATCTAAACATGGGTCGACCATTATTGATTGAAGATAAGGCTAAATCTCCCATTCTCATCCAAATAACTGCATCCGGGGCCCTATAAATACAAGCCTATGACCTCTTTTCAGGGTGAGAGAATTATTATCAAGACGAGGAGATGTTGCCGAGTTGGAGAGCAAGGGAGCATGAATTTTAGAAGAGACTAGCTGATCTCGGTGAAGTTCTTCAGCATAAAGAGGGAGGGTTCGAGAGATCTGAAGCATCGTACCCTCTTTCCTTGAGATTAGGCTTGGTCTTAATCTCAAGAAGAGTACTGATTTCGCTTGGTCGATATCAGTACTTCAGTGAATATTTTCTTGGTGAAGTAGGAGCTCTGATCAATACTTCTGTGAACCGGATTCGATCCGTAGGCGGTCCACGAATAAACCTCGGTACTGGCCAAGATCTCACGCAAGCAATAGGAGATAAACTACTATTGTGTGTAGTTTGAAAAAAGTTATAATTTTTTGATTAAAAATCTTATAAAAAGGCTATTTTCTTGAGTTTGTTGTAAACGTCTAAAGTTATAATGAACTCATCAAGGAAATCAACTTTCCACCCAAACAACATTTTCGTTTTATAGCTTTCAAGTTTAAATAAATATGAAACAAATAGTTATATTTATATACATATATATTCATTTCATATTTATCATCTTTATTTGGAAACTAATCTGTTTATGGATTAAAGACTTGTTTACACTATTTTATATCTTTTCTCAAATCTATTAATCTATTGGAAAGTGTTTCAAAATTTGTTTGGAGAATTTCATCAAAAATTATGTTTTGACGGTTTCGTATTTTTCAACCAGCTTACAAAATAAATAAGTTTTCACAAATGAGAAATGTAATTTAAAAAATTCCTTTTGTAACATGTTCATTTTCATGTTTATAAATATTTTCCCAAGTTTTATATTTTTTAGAATTTATTTAATATTTTTAAAGAGGGTTCAAAGTTGATTTTTACTGTTCATAACAGGCTGTGTGCACGTTATCAGTTGACTCACTACAATGATTAGTCGACTGATGAAGCAAAGCACAGATAGTGGTTTTTGTTTGCTCAGTCGACTGATAACGCATCAGTAAACTGATGCATGTAATTAGTCGACCGATGATATGGCTGTTGTACAGTAACAATTAGTTTCTAGATTTTGTTGTTTTGATATTTTTATTAATTTTTGTTGGGTTCTTGAGCTTGGCTCTTGTAACCTATATATAACCCTTTGCCTTAAACACTCCAATAACTTAAGAAAGTTTTAAAACAAGTTTTATAAGTGTTTAAGGGTGTTTAAGAGTTTTTCAAGTTTGTTTTGTGTGAAGAAGTTTTCACAAAGAAGAGTCTTACATTTTCAGTTTGAGGAATTCAACCTTATCCGTTCATCTACATCTCTTTATGATTTGAGAGAAGTTTTCTAAACTCAATTATCTAGCTTGTTTATACTTAAGTTGTCATATTTATATTTGCTAGATTAATTCGAGTTTGATTTTATTTATACTCATTGATTACACACACCCAAAGAAGAGTCTTACATTTTCAGTTTGAGGAATTCAACCTTATCCGTTCATCTACATCTCTTTATGATTTGAGAGAAGTTTTCTAAACTCAATTATCTAGCTTGTTTATACTTAAGTTGTCATATTTATATTTGCTAGATTAATTCGAGTTTGATTTTATTTATACTCATTGATTACACACACCCACTTAAGCTTAAGTATTTCACACATAGTATATTGGGATTATGAGATTGTATCTTTGAGTGTGGGCTTAACTTAGTTCTCATCTTTGTAATAAAGAACAAATCCTTTATTTGTGCTTATTTATTGAGATTACATTGTAATACATAAGTACACCGAGAGGAGTGTATGGTGAGAGACGGGGTCGATTCCAAAAGGAGTGGCGTCAGTAGTAAAATCTAGGGAGAGGTAGTAAATCCGAGCACTTGAGGAAGTCGACACGGGCTAGGTCAACACTTAGATGGTGTATTGTGTTATTACAATTGTGTGAGTTGTGAAAGTTTTCGATGAGCTAAAAAACTGATTGTGTGAGTTATAAACATTTTCGGTGTATGTTGAAAATCGGTTGTGAGTGTGAAGATTCTCCTCTTGCATGAGGAGCGGAGACGTAGGTCAAGGGTGACGAAACTCTGTGATCATATTATGTGTTTAAGTTTGCATTGGCGTATTATTTATGCTCATTGTTTATTATATTCTATATCGTCACTGTCTCATGTTTATATCGCCCTTAGTTTAATTGCATATCATTGCTCATATATCTTGTTATATATCATAATTACTAGGACATTATTAATAAGTTTTAATTTGGCATTAATATTGGATTAGATTAACATATACCCTATTCACCCCCTAGGATAATTTGACTATCTTCAATTATCTTTGGTGAAAGGTCAGCTTAAAACTTCAAATGGACTCCCAAAGGTACACTAACTATCTTCATCTCCATACTCACATTAAACCGTTGTAGGACCTTCTTCAAATAAGCCACTTGTGTCAAACAAATTATGTCATTATCTCTATCTTTGCCGATCTCCATCCCTAAAATGTGCATCGCTTCTCCCAAATCCTTAGTCTCAAACTCACTCGAAAGCTGAATCTTTAATCTATCTATCACGAATCTGGAAATAGAAGCAACCAACATGACATCGACATAAAGCAATTAATAAATGTACGCACCTCCATGCAACTTGTGATAAATACGTAAGGATCAAACTGGCTCCTAATGTACGAATGACCAAGCATAAACCCATCAAATTGCTTATACCACTGTCGCGGAGATTGCTTCAATCCGTATAGTGATTTCTTTAGCATACAAACCAATTTCTCCTTCCCTACAGCCCGAAACCCCAATGACTGAGTCATATAGATTTTCTCATCAAGATCGCCATAAAGAAATGTTGTTTTCACATTCAATTGATCCAATTCCAAACCATACTATGCAATCAAAGCTAGTAAGATCCGAATTGAAAAGTGCTTCACCACCGGAGAGAAGACCTCATTGTAGACGATGCCTTCTTCTTGTACATAACCCTTCACTACCAATTTAGCTTTGAACCTCATTAGAGTGCCTTCAATGCCCTCCTTCTTCGTATACACCCATTTGTAACCAATAGCCTTCCTCCTCTTTGGAAGCTCGACAAGCTCCCATGTGTCGTTCTTGTGAAGAGACTACATCTCCTCCTTCATAGCTTCCTGCTATAAATCAGCCTTTAAACTCTGCTTAGCCTCTCTGAATATAGTAGGAACCATCTCATTGATATTCTCCACCAGAAGTGCATAAGAAATGATTGTATTTGTATATCTAGCTAGCAACAATATGTCTCTCCTGGATCTTCGAACCGCAATCGAATCCTGAACCTGAGCCATCGGTCCCTATTTCTGCTCTGCTGAACATGTATCCTCCAAATCATCATTGTGCTCACCTAACATCACATCAGTCGGTACTCTAATGGATACGGTCTTATCTAGACAATGTGGATCTACATCAATCTCAACCACATGTGATGTCTCCAATGTCAGGGTGCCCTCCACCTGATGAGAGCTGGGAAGCTTCAAAACCGAAGCCTCATCAAAAGTGATGTCTCTACTCAGCACAATCTTCTTATCAACTGGATCCTAAAGTTTGTACCCTTTCATACCACGCTTGAATCCAACAAATACGACCTTTCTCGCTCGAGGTTCTAATTTATCAGTCTTGACATGATAAAATGCAGGGAACCCAAAAACCTTGAGCTGATTATAGTCGTGCACTGGCTCTCCCGACCATATCTCTATAGGGGTTTTCCCCTCAATCACAGATGAAGGCAACCTATTGATGAGGTGGCTCGCATATGAAAGTACCTCAGCCCAAAAGATCTTCTCCAAACCACTCTGCGATAACAAACACCAGACTTTCTCCAGTAAAGACCGATTCAATCTCTCTACCACCCCTATTCTGTTACGGCGTATGACTAACTGTGAAGCGTTTCTCTATGCCCTCGTCTCGATATAGTTGCTAAAAAGGGTCTGAAGTGTACTCGTCGCCATTGTCGGATCTCAACGTCTTGATCTTTATCTCAGTTTGTAGTTCTAATCACCTCTTCAACTCTACAAATATCTCTAGGACTTCACGCTTCTTCGCCATGGTGTATACCTAACAACACCTAGAATAGTCATCCACAAACGTAACGAACAATCGTCGACCACCAAGTGATGATATCTTGGTGGGTACACGTAGTCTAGGATACCCCTCGTCCTATGAATGGATATCTCGAACTTTACCTTTGTCTTCTTACTAAGAAGATAGTACTCACAGAATTCAATCTTCCCACTCTTGGCTCCCTTCAATAGCCCCTGCTTACACAGTGCCTGCAGTGACTTTTACCTGTGTGCCCTAGCCTGTAGTGCCAATGTCTGTTTATGTCTATCACTAAAATAACTAAAGCTACCTGGTCAATCTCGGTGTTCTCCTTCAGATAATAAAGATTCCTACTGCGGACTCCATTCATCACTACTAAAGATCCCTTAGTAAATTTTGCTACAGCATTCTCAAAAGTCACATTGAATCTCTTTGTCTCCAAAGCTCTAATGGAAATAAGATTCTTCTTCAGCTGAGGAATAAATCTTACCTCATTCAATCCACAAACAACTCTATCATGCATCCAAATCCTCACGGTACCTATCTGTGACGCCCCTATTTTCACTCATGGCTGCAGTCCAAGGTGAACTCAGAGATGTTAAACCTACCATGCACTCACATTGTGCAATAACAAGTTTTACCAATCACAATAATATCCTCTAGTGGGGTCAAATAAAAGCGTAGGTACAAAACAGGCACAACAAGTTTTACCAATCACAATAATATCCTCTAGTGGGGTCAAATAAAAGCGTAGGTACAAAACAGGCAAAGAAGTAGAACGACAATAATATATCCTCTAGTGGGGTCAAATAAAAGCGTAGGTACAAAACAGGCAAAGAAGTAGAACGACAATAATAGATATGATAAAGAAGATGATATCTCATAAATAAAGGTCATGTCTCAACTAAAAATAAACTGAAATACATTTAGAGTCTGCAATAACATATGATGTCTCAACATAAATTAAAACGGAAAGTCGAACTAAGGCTCATTGCCTTTATAAAATGGAAATAAACTCTAATTCTGAATAAAATTTAAAACTACAGTAGAGCCTCTAATAAATCTCTCGGGACGACGACTATGTAAGAACTCCGTCATCCTGCGGCTCTCCGGAACTCCGAGCTACCTGAAAGGGTATTTAAAAAAAACAACAACAAGAGCGTCAGAGCGCTACAACAAGATTACCTCCATCCGCCCCCAGGGGAAGGGCTGCTAGATGGAGTGGAGGCTCTATCTATTAAGCATAGTCTATCTAGATTTATTTTCCCCGTATCTAAGTGGGATTAACATTTAGAAACCTACAACACGAGACGTAGTACGTCGAGCAAAATAATTCAAACAAGGAAACCCTCATGTATATACCATAAGTCTCAAATTATAGATATCTAAACATTAATACTGAACTAAGAAAAGATAATCTAATGAAACCAATAATTGGAAATCCATAACACGAGACTGGTACATCGAGCGAAATAATCCAAACAAGGAAACCCTCATGTATATACCATAGTCTCAAGTTGTGAATCTCTAATCATTGATCCTAACTAAGAAGTAAAAAGGACAGTAAAAGAAATAAGATATCAACACATCGTATTTATAATATCTTCCACTATCACTAGAGAGATAGAATAAAATACTAACACATAATTTTGTATACTTTCAAAAGTAACATATCTCAGTCGTATAGTTCAATGATAGGTCGTATTCAAAATCGGCATCTGCCATACTTAGGCTATCAAGTAACTGTCTCAGTGCAATGGACTACCATGTAGGTATCCTGAACTGTGTACATGGCTCATTAGTCTCATCGCGATCTCAGTGCATGACATGAGTGCGGGACGGACTACCAAATAGGCATCCTAGAAATACGGCTCACGAGCCTCATCACATCCTAGTGCGGGACGGATGGCTAGATCAAGCCTCCTAAAATCTGACTCAATGGCCTGTACATATGGAATATCGACGCACTACCTCATGTAGTACTGAACTGAGCTCATCAACGATATCCACCTCATGTAAATCTTTGTATCTCTGGCATGTCGATGCACTATCCCATATAATATTGAGATATGCTCATCAACAACATTCAGCTCATGTATAAACCATATATATTTGGTATGTCGACGTACTATCCCATATAGTACTGAGCTGTGCTCATCAACGACATCCAACATGTATACGAACTATATCTAATTCAAATATGATAAAATCAAAATTTATCATAATCCCCTTAGGATTCTTAAATATATAACATAACATATTCATGACTAAACGTGTAACATCAAGAGGCTCAAAACTCCGCGAACGCACCTCAAAATGGCGCAACACAGCTCTACAAAACGAGAAGGAAAAATAGATATGATATCTATTAGAAAAACAAGCATATATTTCTTTAGGAAAACTATTTTTACAAATGGTTTTCTGTTTTATAAACTAGATTCACACATCTTTCAAATGACATAAGTTTGGTTCAATTTGGAGTTCATTTGTTATCTCAAATCTCTAGTTAAACATTATATATGTGCATCCGTTTTTCTGCAGGACATGTTGTTAGTAAATATAATATATCTTTCTCTATACAAACTCTTTTTAATAATGGTTTTCTGTTTTGAAATCTAGATTCACACATCTATCAAATAACAAAAATTTAGTTTATTTTAGAGTTCATTTGTTATGCCAAATCTCCAATTAAACTTTATATATGTGCATCCATTTTTTTGCAGGATGTGTTGTTAGTAAATATAACATATCTTTCTCTATACAAACTCTTTTTAAGAATAGTTTTCTGTTTTAGAAACTAGATACATATATCTTTCATTTGGCACTAGTTTGGTTAAATTTAGAGTGTATTTTCTATTTTGAAATCTTAGTTAAACATGATACAATTGCTGTAGTTTTCTGCAGAAAATATTTATTTAGTACATCTCTTAAAGTTCTCATATACAAATAAAATTATGAAAAATCCTAATGATCATGATCATGATACTATCATAAACAGTAAGAAAAAAAATTACTAATCTAACATTGGTTTATGTTTTAACATAAAAAATTTAACTTTTATCACATCATGTTAAGATTCAAGCATGGAAACACATATTCAACATCATATTAAACATCTAACTAGTTTTTTAACTATAGGGAAGGGTTTGAATGAATATAATCTTGCCTTAGATATCGTTCTAAGCCTCTAAAATAACCAGCAAGCAAAAAGAAATGCAACCAAGCCGTTTTCCCCTTGCTACACGTTGATGACCTCGCCCTCGTGTTGATATTTGCTTCAAAAAGAGCTCAAAATTCTCAACTTTAGGGCTAGGGATTCAGAGAGAGGAAGTGTAAGACCCTGTAGATTTTGATAATTTATATATGTGATTATTAGTGGAAAAAATAATATTTATTTATGATAAATATCTTTATGACATGGTTGTGCATAAAATCTAGCATTTTGAGATTATGATAATGTATATATACATCAGTTATGAGGTTGAGTTTGCAAATTTGCAAATCATAAGCATCAGAGTCGAAGAACTTAGTTTTCAGCTCATGAGTCGACCCATGACTGCCATGAGTCGACTCATGATATCAACTCCCATTGTCAAAAGTCTCTGCTGAGCTGACTTATTATCTTATGAGTCGACCCATGAGTCATGAGTCGACTCATGACAGTCATGAGTCGACTCATCGGGGGTTTTCTGGGTTTTGTAGATCGGGTTTGTTTGGGTTTTGGGTCGGATTTTAATTGTTCATATATATTCTCCTCCACCCGAAAACACCTCTTTTCATCAGTTCTCCCCAGAGAAACCCTAGCCTCCTCTCCCCTTCTAAACCCTAGTTCGTTTTTGGGCATTTTGGGAGATCTTCGGGGGATTTCAGCAGCTTCTTTTGGATTGCAGCGAAGGGGATCGTTCTTCATCACATCTGAGGTGAGTAACATCTCGCCCAATCCTTCTCCCATGTTTTTAACAGTTTACAAATGTTTTTCATGAGTTTTATTGAGCCTAAGACTTATTTTCAAGTATAAATCAACGTTCTTATTAGGGTGAATGCTAGAAATCATGTGTTTCAGATATTAAATCCTCACCAACGAGTTTTGATGAAAACCCAGATCTGGAAATTTATTTAAAGTATAACAAATATGAGTTTTTACCTTGATTAAATGCTTTCACTCATGTTTAGGAGTTAAAAGTTAGGTCTAACATGCTAATGTTCGTTTCTCATGCTATATATGAATTTATCACTGCCTCATAGTCTAGAATTGATAGTGATGGAGGTGAAGATCAGTATAAAGGGAGTACGAAACGAGATGGACGAGTTGCAGTTGTGAAACATCTAGTTTTTAGCCCGTGAGTCGACTCATGACTCATCATGAGTCGACTCATCAGGTTGAGGGTATTAAATTGTAGTATTTATGATTTCATCTACATATGTAAGATGACATTTTTCTGACACAAGCTTAGAGCTGTACAGCGTGGCACGTACAAGAGTAGAATATGTATACCTTTACTATTAGTATTCCATGGTTCATATACACAGTCCTCGTGTTGGACTATAATCCATTAAAGTCCTCGTGTTGGACTATAATCAATTAAAGTCCTCGTGTTGGACTATAATCCATTAAAATCCTCGTGTTGGACAATAATCCATTACAGTCTTATGTTGGATAATTGCTAAATCCTGAGTATGTTTCTTAACCGAGTTTGGAACACGACATATTATGTGAAGCTGGGACATGATAGCTATCTAGGCTGGACATGACATTTATTGTAGCTTTGACAGGTTTAAATTGTATCGGTAGAGATGGGTTTGTTTTCCTTTTCTTCATTGTTTCTTGTGTTAAGCCTCGGGTTTAGTATTTAGGGATTTACAATTTGAGATACAAGGTATATACATGAGGGTTTCCTTGTTTGGATTATTTCGCTCGACGTACCTATGCTCATGTTGTAATTTCCTAAGTACTAAAACCCACTATTTTTAGTATAAATGATCTTTTATTCTTATGTATTAACTGTATTTTCATATACAACGAGCCCTATCCATTGGGGTTGGTTGAGATGTTGCTCGCTAGCGCTTTGACGCTCGTTGTCCCTCCCCCTTTCAGGTAACGATCCAGGAGCCCGGAGAGTCGCAGGTTGAGGGCGATCCTTATTAGTGCCCGTTTATCCTTTTTATTAGATGTATTATATTTTGTACTCCACTTGAGACATTTTTAGACTTGAGAGATTTATATTCTAGAGTTGTAAAGACGGTGTGCCTTATTTCTTGTATCAGTCATTATGTACTTTGAGACATGTTGAGGTCTTCATATTGTTATTATTTATTTCAGACATTGACTATGTATTCCAGCTTATTTGGTTGATGAGATGTATTATATTTGAGATCTATCATTTCATCAAGTATTTATTGTAAACCCTTTCATTTGCTTTGTACCTACACCTGTTGTTGATTCCACTAGAGAGATTATGATTGTGATGGTGAAACATGTTATTGCACGGTGTGGTGCATGGCAGGTTTGACATTTCTAGTTTCACCTCAGACTGCAGCCTTGTGTGAACCCAGGGGCGTCACAGTTGGTATCAGAGCTCTAGTTCTAGTATCCTTAGGATCATC